AAACTTTCACTTCAATATTCGTTGTTCCCCCTCTTGCTCTAATTACTACCTGCATTTGCGTTTTCATTGACCTTATTAAAATGGTGACGCTTCCTTCAGAAATTCGGTCCCATTCTTCACTTATGGCGGTTTCCAAAGCTTCCAAGATTGTAGGGGCGGGTTCTCGAGCTCTAACCCTCTGTTTTAACGTGTCCTAGTTCTGTACAGGATTTAAGTCTGATCTTCTTTCTGGCCACTGCATAACCTGAATGCCGACCACTTCCAAGCACTGAGTAACAATACATGCGTGTGATTGTCCATTATCATGCATTTACTCGAAGTTATCTCCGATGTAGCCCGCATAGGGCACGACGTGATCTTCTAGGATCTCCAGTCTGTAACATGGAGCAGTTAGTGAGCCCATTCTGATACACACCAGCTCTGTACGTGCTGTCAAAGATATCCCACCCCAAAACATTATAGAGCCTCCACCGTAACTGACAGTTTCTCATAAACAAGACGTTCACCCGGCCTTCTCATGACATAACGGCGCCCATCAGAGCCGTATAAAGTCATTCGACTTTCATCACAGAATATAACTGAAGCCCATTGGTAATAGTCCATTCAAGATGTTCCCTCGCAAGTTGAAGTCTGGCTTGGCATGAGTTACGGTCAATTGTGGCCCTGCTGCTGACTGGTGAGGTCTTAAATTCTGTTCAGAAGTTTTCTCCTCATCGGACTGTCACTTATAGCCATACTTCGCGCAGTCGTCGCTGGAGATCTACACCAGAAAGGTGCCAATTTCTTAGAGCCGATGTCACAATAAAGCGGTCATATCGTTGAGTGGTGACCAGATCCTGTTCCTCTACGGCACTGCCCAGACTTTTGAAACCTCTAGTAAACTCTCCGAACCGCAGATTGACTGAGAAGAAATCTTGAGCGACAACAGTTGACTTAAACCATCTCGCAGCAAAACTACAACTTGGGTCGATTTAGTTTCCGATTCAGTAATTCCAGACTAATTTAATCCCAATTACATTGATAAACAATACAGTAAGAATCGTCAATAACAGTTACTCTGTTGCAAACACCTGGTTGCGAATTAAACTGGGCCAAAGTGAATACTAACGCATTCATAAAACCGGCACTGAAGAGTGCTTACTTTAAAAAAGCTTATTAAAAATACGATAATACTACAAAGTATCCTCATGTGCGTTAAGATTTATGGGAATTAAATGTCATACATCTTATCCGACCCTAGACATAAAAAAAACGTACTTCAAAACCTTTATCTTTGAAATTATAAAGAGCAATATTGCAAATACAGGGTAGGTCGATTTTTGTGATGACCAGTGTACATATAACACATTTACCCAGATCCGAGATAAATAAGTACCACATAGCGTCACACAAATTGCTCAGATTTTAGAGTTGAAGCACTTGAGTAATGAAAATCAGAAGCATTGAAGTTATCACGAACACCCAGATTCTAGAAGTTTTAGAAAAGTTGTTTTCTCAATCCAAACATTTTCTAGAAACATTTTTAGACAAATTGTAATTTTACGTTTACTTACTTACTTACTGCTGTGGCGCAACGATCCGAAGTGGATCTTGGCCTCCGACACAAGATGACGCCATGCTCTGCGATCCCGGGCTAGGTCTCGCCAGCCGTCGGCACCCAAAGACTGCAAGTCCCTCTGCACCTCGTCGCTCCAGCGGTATCTGGGACGTCCAACGGACCGTCGTTCTATCGGTTGCCCCAAATACGCCCTTTTCACGGCTCGATCCTCTCCCATTCTCTCTACATGCCCGAGCCAGCGGAGTCTAACTGCTTTAATTTCTCCTATGATGCTGGGCTCGGACACTAGATTTTCCAACTCGATGTTCGTCCGCACTCTCCAGCTACCATCCTCTCTTTGAGTCGGCCCCAGGATCTTCCGCAGAATCCTTCTTCTTCGGCAAAGAAGAATTCTGCGCAAGTTTTACGTTTGCAATTGCATAAAATATGTTTTTTCTTCTAAATCTAGGCACAAAATAGACAAGGCGAAGAGTGGGTACTGTATACGCGACTGGAAATATTGACAAGCAAGAAACTGACAAAGAAGGGATCCTTTAGGCGCAGCTCACACCAGGAGAGTGGCGGCGAAGATACCGGCGGCGGCAAGATAGTATTTTCTCCGCAAGTCTCCTGATGTGCGCTGTGCTTTAAGAATTCATATTTCCCTTTGAATTGACGACCTGAAAGTAATGTTACGAATATATTATCACAAAAATATAATAAAGTGACCTTTAGAATCAGTTATGTTTTCACATTAAACCCGGCAAAAAGTAGATTTATTAAATCAGTAAAACATCCGAAAACTAATTTTACTCTTGGTAGTTGTCTATCAGTCTGCTAACGGACTGGGGCTGTTATTTTTGTTCGCACAAAATTATCGCGAATCTCTCGTGTTTGTTCGTATGTAATAGGAACGCAGAAATGTTCCGAGCTAAACTTGCAGTAAGCGCGGCGTGCATGAATATTCACGTGCCCTCTACGTGTACGTGGTCCCGCATAGTTTGTGAATTTCCTCTATCACCGTTATATAATGTAGACTCAGGAATGGCTCCATTAAACCTTGTTTATGTTGTCTTCCCTATCGTATTCAAATGCGAATTCTAACATGGTCATTAAACCTGGAGCTTAATTTACTGCACAAGTTGGTGGCATCGAACATTTATTTCTTGTGTTTTTGGGAGTTTAAAACTTTAGTCACTCTCGATTGGAAAATCCATCACTTTAAATAGTATAAGTGGTTACCGTTAGTACCTACGCCATAAATGATCAGAAGATTATAATACGAGAACAAGAATTAACATTCCGATACTACTTAGCACTTTGAGAGTACTGTGGCCGGCTGAAAGTTCGATACTATTTTCTGCAATTTTTTTGTTTATATGTAATTTTATTTATGGCTGTGCCCCTCAGTGTTTAGGGATATTTTCCCGCAGTAAAACGTAGCCTATGTGTTATTCCAGGGTGTCAACTAACTCCATACCAAATTTTATTAAAATCGTACCAACCGTTTAGACGTGAAGAAGTAACAAATATACACACTCACAAACTTTCGCCTTTATAATATTAGTGTGACTATTCAATTAATCGAATCTTGCCTATCGCAGTCTACTGCTGAACATAGGGATCTCCCAATTTGCGCCTCAACCCTCGGTTCTCCGCCTTCCGCATACAGTCTAACCCAACCACCCTCTTCAAATCGTCGGCCTATCTAGCTGGAGGCCGTCCTACACTATACTTGCCGGTACGCGGTCTCCACTCAAGGATTCATCTGCTCCAACGCTCAGCGGTCAGTTAATAGTCTTCGACAAATAGGGGCAGCTCACTGCCATTTCAGTTTACTGATTCTTCAAGCTACATCGGTGACTTCACTTCTTTTCCGGATAAACTCGTTACCAATTTTAACACATCCGATACTATTCGGACATTATTATCAGCCATATTTTATTAGTTCAATGAAAGACAAAAGCATATAAATTTATCTTGCTTTGTTTCCAGTTCAGTTCCCCCACAATCTATTAACTCGGTAAATCTTATAAAAGCTTTCGAGTATTCGCTTATCGCTGACTGAGCTAGCCTTCCAGTATCCACTTCCCGTGGGTTTTGTGTCAAATCGGAAATATTTACTTTAGCTTCCGAAGAACAAAGGACGTCATGTCTCTTTCTTTGTGATCTTTCGGTCGGAAGCGTGAAATTGCTGTTCTGAAATTAGTATCTGTGACAAAGGAGCCGGGCTTACTACTGCTGATATTCGATATAGTTTGGTTTGTCTACACAGATCAAACGATTTTGTTCTAACAGACTTATTAATATTATTTCTTTAAACCAATTAAGGTAATACTGCTTTTCGCTTATTATATTTTTAACTTTTAAAATCGTAGATAAAAATATATTCAAGAAGTATTCGTTGGCTTTATTTCTTGCCTATATTTGAAAACTTTAATTACGTTAATATTATATTATGAATTTCAATTTTCATATCAAAACAATGAATCTTGAAGTAACTTTTATTATAAGCACGGATAATGTTACCGGTTTTCCAGGAGATCTCACATTTTTAATAATATGTTTATCCCGACGTTCCGTTCCGTATTCTCTGACATTTATTTATTGATTATTACATAGTTTGACAACATTGCGATTCTGAAGAGTGAAATAATTATATAAATTTTTGGTCACCCATTCGATGACTGGCCATTGCGGAAGTTGCTTAGTCTTCATCGAACTCTTTAACCTCTTAGGCCTGTATTATAGACAGATTCTCAGTGATTGATCTAGTCTTGAGCATAGTTAGAAAGGGATGTCGTTTTATATAGCACATAGCGATATCCCTTTCTAACTGTACTCAAGTAAAAATCAACACTTAGTTGTCATTCTGTAATACGGGCCTTAGTCTAGTATTGAGAAAGGTAGGACATAAATTTTCCGTTCGAATTGGTGCGCACGTCTGGGGAACTAACCTCCACCTTACAGAACTCCTCAGTATAATAAAATCACCTTTTAGAGTAGTGTTGTGTTTCTGTTGGTGAGTAAGTTTCCAGCACTCCACGGGTTAGGGGTTTGGGTCAGGATAGGCAACGGCGCGAGTAATATTTTGGTATCGCAAGAGTCTATTCTGAAGGCTATGGTGGCCGCTTATCATCAAATTCAAAATCAAAATTAAAAATAATTTATTCAGTCTAGGCTGTTACAAGCATTTGTGAAGGTCAAGAAGCTACGCCATCGGTTCGCAAAAGTACGGCGGGAGACCTTGTACTGAGAACATCAGGCGGGCCATATGCTTATTTGGTCACCATTTTAACGTTACATTGTTATTAAATATTAATTTGGTCCACCAGCCGTTTGACAAGTGCTACATTGGTGCGACGGCGGAGCTTGACGAGGAGCGCGTGTTTTGCGGCCAGATGGCGGCCATCTACCTGTTCGGGGAGGCGCTCTCCACTCACCAGATCTGCGCCATGCATAGGCTCGGACCAGGCTATAAGGTACTTATTACGATTCAAAAAATATTCAAATTGGAATCTAATACAACTCTTTTGATCGTCCATATGTTTCCCCTACAACCCGTTAAGGACACTTTTTTGCTGTACAGAAAAACTGTGCCAAAAAACTTCATAGCGTCAAATCTTGTAACAATATTTACATTATATTATATTGTTACAGTGTCAATTACAAAATTAGTATTAGTTATCATCTAATATAATAAATAAAGAAAAAGCCTGTTTGAAAAGCTTAAGTAGCTTAAGGTCGGTATGAGACTTGACCGTAGTGGGTACGTAGACTGCATTGGAAGCGAAGTGCAACGGCACTTGCGTTCGTTTTGTTTTGCTAAAGATTCATAATTTGCACAGATAGTATAAGTGCCTTTCAACTTAAAGACACTCAAATTATATTGATCAGTAAAAACAGACTGAGGGAGGAACTGTAAGTGGAGACGCGTCTCAATGAAACATTAGAACAATCTATGCTGTTATTTTTGTTTTCCTTCCAGTTATGGTCTGCACTAATTAATATTGTACATGCATCTGTAATTGACATGACGTCTCGTTAATTACTAATAACAATTCAAATGACCTGTGAATTTAGATAAGAACTCTCGCTAGAGTTTTTAGATACTCTTTCTCTGATATGGACAATGAAAATATGACCAATATATTAGATTTGACTGATGGTTGGAACTATAGCCTCGGTACTGCCTAATGCCCATTCATTTCAGAAAATTATTATAAGAAAACCACATAAATTGACTAGCCCAAGGGAAATCCCAACCCGTTACTCACATACGAGCTCAGATTCTACCTACATTCGAATTCGTAATGCATATATGTATAAAAAAAATGCGAGCACAGTTAAGAAGGCCAATAATTTTAAGAAAGACTAATGTCTATGTATCATATTAAAATATATTCAAGATCAAGAAGTATTAATGGTATTTCGGCAAATTCTTATCTTTTTGAAATACAATTGCGAACGAAGTCTCATGCCGGCATTTCACTTGGCTATTCGTATTCTGCCCTTTTCATGCTTTATAAGAAACGGGACAGACGGAGGTCAAGTGAAGTGCCTGTAAATTCCAGCAATGATGACTGTTCATTACAGATGTACGTTTTCTCAGAACTGTTTTGTATTTGCACTTGATTTAACATCGAATGTATTTTGTTTCTTGCTAACATGGACACAGAGTCAGTTTCGATTCGACAACGAATGCAACATCAGTTTGCCGGAGAATCACAAAAGGGTGAGCGAGACAACCGCTCCAAAGCTTGAAAGCGTTGATTTCCCGTCTGACCCAGAAACCTCGTCCCCCCCTCCCGAGCCCCAGCCCCTCGAACCCGCTTCGCAAGACGAAGATACCGAGACAACAGCAAACGAAGAAGCATGCGTAGTTGTGAAGGAAGATTCTACGCCCCGTGGAAGACGCATGGCTGACGAAGCGCGTGAAGTCGCCGCCGCTCATGCGTCCCTGCTCGTAGATATTGAAGCATGCAAGCGTGTAAGCATGCCGCGCCGCTCGCTCTTACATAGTTTTTTATACGTTTGACATGCTTTTTGTGTTGCACTGGAAGTCGACTGATCATCTGAATGTGCTAACTTGTGATAATATAATCATTCAGCTCATCAATCGACATCCGAGCACTGTGTGTGTATATAAACACTGTATTGTCCATTTGCTATAGTCCTTGTCTGGTACCAGGGTCAGTTCCGTTTCGACGCTGAGTGTAAGACCCTGCTGCCGTCCAGCGACCTCCGGGTAGACCGCTACGGCGACCTCATCTACGATCCATCACAGAACATACATGACGTAAGACAGGCAGCGAACATTTTGAGGAATAACAGTTATCTTTATACTCTACTCCACTAATTCTATGTAATCCTAATACATTTGTTTAATACTTCAAGCATTTTGGATTATGATTCCCTTAGTCTTAAAACTAATCTGTGTCATAGTGGGTGCAAGCTATTAAAAATAATTGCTTGGTTTATTAATCTTTTTCAAACGTGCCATTGTTTCCACGAATCCATTTTAAACTCGATTAAAATCCTTTGTGTTCGAGACATTGGAAAAATAAATTACCTTCATTTCTTGAGACAATTTGAACAGTTGCTATTAGAGTGGTAGGGTGGAACAAAGACGGCTAAATTATATCAGTTAATCCTTTTGGAAATATTAAATTCTGCTTACATTTTCTATACCCAAGTCTTAGTAAAAAGTACTATAAAGAAGTTGATGAGTAATTCTAACGCGTATTAATTACTGTAGCTTAAGATGATATTCTCCCTACACTTGAAAAGTTATCCAGAGGGATTTCACCTTAATTTTAATGTCACCTTTCATCGCACCATTACCGTCTAAAGTATATTGTTGGTGACTCGTCTGAAAGGTCCATTTATCTTTTGAAGAGAGCTCCGCCCACCGAAACGGTCCGCCGACTCGCAAAGTTATTTGCTGGCCCGAATTTTACAAGTTTCAGGTACAAATTAACAACTTCTTCAGTCCTAAGTAAATAGAATGGGGCGCTTCTATGTTATTAGGTTTGCGGTCGAGAGCGCGTCGAATGTTTTTCTTAGAGTAAACTGTTAGTATTCTAATTTAATATGCACATTCTTAAACTTGGAGCTTGTGAAATATTTTTGTAGCGAGTACTTACTTCAATTTTCGTGGTAAAGTATGCAAGAAAAAACTTTAACTTCAGCGCAACAATGTGTGATGAAGTTTGCCCACTAAACAGTCGTTACCGCTGTTGTGACGGATGCCAAGTTTAGTGTGAAACGACCCGCTCCGGTCCGGTCTGAAAGTCCATTTCATGCTCCGGTTTCTGAAGTTAGTTGCTTTGCCTCTTATCTGAGTTAATATAACTTACTAGCGGCTGGCCCGGCACTCAGGAATGATGTAGCTTTATAATGCTGTTAGAATTTTTAAAATAGGTCCAGTATTTTTGAGTTTATTCGTTGCAAACTTATAAATTTCCTTTTTTAATATTAGTCTAAAAGATTGCAATCAGCTTATAGTTATATCCTCTATTGTATATTGAACTAGCTCTGTATTCTGTTTCCTGACTTAAAAGCTGTCTGACTTTTATGAGACTCTTAAGATTGTCTTTAGACTTATGAAATAGTTATGACTCACGGCATGCATGATTCCTTTAAATATGGTAATCAAATCTGAAATGTTTCGTTTAGTGATTTAGTTCGTTCATTTTCCAACTGGTCCCGTTCTAAGTTGTAAATTAAATAAAACATGTTAACCACTTTGGAGTTGTACAATTTAAGGTCCCCAAAACTTTTTCATTGGTTTAATTTCCTTGTAGACCCTAAACTTCTCTGACGAGTCCAATTTAGTTGATTTCTCTTACAAAATCAGATTCCACAAAATTCTAGTTGACTTCATTTTTTATTGTTCGACCTTTTTTTTAATAAAGAAGCGCTCGGACCCGTCATTAAAACTTTAGCAATTAAAAGTTAAAAGTTGATTAGACGCCTTGTCATGGTAATAAAATACTTATAATATAGTATTTAATGTTAATCTTCGAAAATCATGTGATCCTAGTGCGATACCGAGATTATATTTATTAAATTTGATTGATTAAAACAACCCAAATTTAACTTAAGAAAGGCTAAAAAGAATTCGACACGGCCATCAGGGCAGCGGTAGCATAGCAGGTGCTGGTTCGAGTCCCGTCTGCTGCCTGCTCTGCGTGTATTTTTTTCTAGTAATATTTTCTTTAGATTAAAACATCGAGCAGTTATGCATATATTTGTTTCTTAGGTTTTCACGCACATCACTCATTAAATAAAACTAGTTGTTACGGGTTAATGCACGAAACTTTATTTATTTATTGACGTTTCGTAGCCTTTACAGGCTACGTCGTCAGAATTAAAATTAAACTAGATAAATATCAAAGACTATCTCGCGTTCAGGAAAAACGAAACGCAAAATACTTTATTAAGTAAATTAAATAATAAATTCATACATAGACAATAAAACTTTAAAAATCGAACAATGAAATAACCGAACGCTCAATAAAAGTCTTTCGAAGGTAGCTCGACAAATTAAATAAAAGTTTAATTCTGACGACGTAGCCTGTAAAGGCTACGAAACTTCAATAAATAAATAAAGTTTCGTGCATTAACCCGTAAAAACTAGTTTTATTTAGTTATGCATATGCTTAAAAAAATAAAATTATAACCCCAAATTTATTTAATTATATGTACTATGCCCTAGAATGTAAACTCTTATATACACTGAAGCAAAGTGTGGGCGGGTCACTAGTTAATGAAGAAATGATAAACATGGCGGCCTAACTTTTTTTATCCTTAATCTAACTTAAATCCTCATCTGACTACTGACTCAGTCGCGCGATAAGATTGACTTCCGAAATTCTTTAATTATAAACCAAATTCCATTTCGGTTTGGCGGCTGCGGCTTTTTTAATTACCATACAAATTAATACTTAATTCCCGTCGCCGTCGAGTAGGTGCTCGTTAAAACGCCAGTTGTAAAGGCAGATTATTGTCTTTCGCTCATTATACGGACAGATGGAAAATTTATTTGCAAATCATTTGCGAAATGGACACAGTCGGATACTTTTTTTTGTCGAATTGTGAAAACCCGATTAATTATTGAGATTTAGGTAGTTTAGTAGGTATGTGCTGAAATTAATCTCATTATTAAATTCCAATACACTAAATACTATACATACGGCAAACTATTTCTAATTTTTTGTTCTTGGTAAAGAATGGGCTGAAAATTTGTAATGTAATTTGCAAAATTTCAATACTAACAGTTGGCTTTGGACCTCCTTTTATTTCTTTAAATTGTTATACACACAGTTTGAGACGCTTACGAGTCTATTAAAAGGGTAAACCATTCCTTAAAGCAGTCAAAGATTTTGAATACAACCGTAATACATAGTTGTTTGAATGTTAATTCAACCTTAAAATATGGTTACGCTAACTTAGTTCTACTGGCAGAGGCGTCTTTAAAGTGATTCTCGTTGTATCTGAACAAATCCACGACAGGTTTAATATTAAAACACAAGACGTTGCAACAATGGAGTAAACGGGGAGGTAGGGGGTGTAACTGGGAGTTCATCTCATTACACAGATTGTGTTCGCCTTAAAGTACTGCAGGAAGGTGGGTTAATGTCTGGATGTGACACGGACGAATGGAAACACGATTGCATAGGATGCCATTCTGGTCGTATGCGGTAGTGCTTGCTTGTTTCATTGCTGAGTTTACGACTTATTTATACCTTGAATCTGTGCAAATAAGAGTCTGTGCTATATCCGTTTTAATAAAAAGAAGTGGAATACATTGTTTATAATTTTGTGTTTTATTACAACACATGTAGCTTATAGAAATTATTTGTTTGCAAGTTTTCGACTCGTTCGTCCACTTTAAGAACTAATTACGGACATTTGAAAGTTCCTACTGGGTTGAAAGGTGGTCTGGTCTGAGTACTATTAAATGTTGCATCCAGCGCCTCTAGGGTTGTGCCCGTGGCACGGTGGTGTCAGAGCCTCCCAACTTCCTTAATAAAAGTTGAGCGCCGCCGGTTATGAGATCCGTGTAGCCTATTCCGTGAATCGTGACGAAAATAAAGCTCCGCTCGTAGTACGTAGTTACTGTGACTTTTCCGGCACTCTTTTGGGTTCACTAGGTAAGCGCACATTGTGATGGATCGGGAGTTTGGTTTGTTTTAGTTTTGTAAATCACAACGAATTATTTGTAAACGTTATTCTTATGACTTATGGCATTAAATTTCACGATGAAAATTTCACACCTTTTTTGTAGCCAAAGCTTGTTTATTTTGTAGTGTTTCAAATACGTAAACGTATTTAGCGATTATCACTATAGTTAGAAAACCGTGATGCGTGCGGCTTTTAATATTTTATGATCTGATTTAAATCTTAACGAGACAAAAATCAAGACGAAGAAGATCAAGAAGAAAAACAACAAGAAGAAGTAATTGAAGATTATGGATCGGACGAATATTTTTTTTCCACTGTTTTTAAATTTTTTATTTTTTTTTTAATCTTAACGAAGACATTCAGTACCCTACCCACCCATAATGTAACATCAGCTACAATAATCCCTTTAACGTAAATTGGGTCATTGGTACAGTCACCAGCAAATAATGTATTACTTAGGTTTTTTTAACCCAATCAATACATCACACTATAGACGTATATACCCCAGAATGGCTAAGAAAAAATATTAAGGAACTGGGCATCATAATGCGCTTTGTAAAAAAGTGCTTTCAAATAGGAAAATCCGTACAATGAGAACACCTATCAAATAAAATACTCAAAACAGCACTTCTGCTCCTTCACGTTTTGATAAGCATTGTCTTAGTCGACATAGACCCTTTGTCGTGTTTTATTGTAGCGCAATCAAGATTTTTTGCATGTATTTTCTCAGGAATTGAACAAATATTGTTGGAGGATTGCTGCAACTAGTTTAATCTATTTCTCTCCGTATATATCTTGTGATAAATTTTAAATAAATATTTATTTTGCATGTTTAAAAGAGTAACGGTGGCGATACTTATTATAAAAGCTAAAGTATTTTGAATTATATAGTTAGAAATTTAAAAATCTTTCGAAGAGGATCTAAGATTAAAAAATATCAACAGAGAACAAATATTTCATAACTATAACATAAACCAGAAATCACTGATGAATTTGTTATTGCACGAAGATTTTGATTGTATTCCTCCATTTACAGGTGTATAAGTAAATATTGTAAATTTTGTTGTTGTTATTTTTTTTTCCTAATTATAGATTTGGGTGCGTGTGTCCACAATAATGGTTGATCGAAAATGTTTCGATAATCGTATTATTTTTATATTGTTCCTCAATTGTTTCTTTACCATCTTCGATTGACTTGACTTCAATCTATGATATCATTATTATATAATATTATTATATTTGTCCTTGTTCTCCACTTTACCTATATATCAAGGAAACGATATTCGTCAGTCGATACGTGAGGAAACAGCTGCCATATTCAAACTCTCGAGACATACCTACCTCAAAGAATATTTGAAGAAGAGATTACTGTCACTTAGGTATTCTTTACATTTCATTAAAAGATTCAATATTAGTATCAACTTTCAATTTAAAAAGTTGTTTTTTTGATTCAAAATATAGCATACTATCGGCCGCCCGCGACTTCGTCCGCGTTAACTTTAGTTTTCTGACAATCCCACGGTTTTTGCTAAAAAGTATCTTATGTCTCAATCCAGGTCGTAAACTATCAATATGCGTACCAGTAGTTTTTGAGTAACAGTAGTGATTGAGTAACAAACACACGAATATACTAACTTTTACATTTTTAGTATAAGAAAGGTTTTGGTTTCATAGGGCCATACATATCATACTTTCAATAAAACTTTATAATCATCTTCTTTTCAGTCGTTATTATATCGTTTATTACCTTCTCAGAATTACTCAGTAACTGGTGTTCGTAAATTTAGATAATAATTGACGTTACATACTAATACCTAGTGTAGATCATTCTTAATAACATCCAATAATAATATGATCGTATTGGCTTAATATTGTTGTGCTTCCTTTTCGTGTCCATGAAGTTGTCTGGTTTTATTTCTTTAATGAAAGCACGTAACACTTATTAAAACATGATTTTTTATTGCCATAAACATACTACCTATGTTTTATGAATAGTTTTATAATATTTTTTTTATAAAATATGTAAAACTTTGGCCAATAAGTTCTTTGTTTATTCTTATAACATTTAATTACTTGATGATTTCATTTATATTGTGCTTCATACAAATGTTTGGCTTCGAAACCAATGAAAAATCATGACAGGTTTTTAATGGTTTGTTGACTGTAAAAGTTTTGTAGTTTGCATGTTATTTTTTAGTATTTTACAAAGAAATCTGGATTTATGTTGTTTAACATATAGCGTCTTTTTCTACAAGGACTACTACAAATGAAATCTATAAATTATATTTTATTTATGATACATCTATTTTGTGTGTGAATCCATATTTACAATAAATCTATTTTGAATGAACTCTGTTTTGTAACTCATTTGCTATGTTTAAATATTATTTAAATAATTTTTAATTTACTATTGCGTTTTTTTAAATAACAGGTACTATATGATGGCAAATTATCGTCAGCCATAGTCTTCATGTATAACCCCGTGGCTACAGATGGACAACTGTGTCTACAATCTGCACCAAAAGGCAATGTTTCATACTTCGTACACACACCCCATGCTTTGATGCTGCAGGTGAGCTCTTTACATTTATATGTACATCTCTGGTACTTCTATGGTATTGTTCACTTAAAACCAACTAGATATTTTTCCATCAAGAAAGAAACGAGATTCAGCAAAATCTTAAGATAGATTAATTTAAATCGTGTTTGAAAAATTTAACAATTTCGAAAGGATAATGGCCACCGTGTCATAAATAGCGTCATATTTTTAGTCTGTAGCCCCATTACTAATAAACGAAGAATAAGCTTAGACTAGTTACACCTTGTTTTGTTCCTATTATTAAAATTATGGTAAATCAAATACTTTAAGGACTGCGAAACATTTCTGTTTTATTATAATATAATAAAACGCCTATGTTTTGATTTATTAGATGGATAAATTATGTGTTTCTATTTCTCAGGAAGTGAAAGCAGTAGTCACGCATTCAATCCACAGCGCTTTAAATTCAATAGGCGGGGTGCAGGTTTTGTTCCCGTTGTTTGCGCAACTTGATCTACCGCATGACGCCCCCACATCTGAACCAAAGAGAGACCCCATGCTATGGTATGTTTTCCTAGTACGCATAATATCAGTGTAGGGACGTGTTTTTATTAGAACAACTTTTATAACTAACTCTTAGTAAAGTCATCCCAAAAGAACAACATCATAACTTAACCCTTTGTTGGCCAGATTTACTAATGTGGTATGTTTCGTATGGGTTTATAAACTTTAAACACACATAAATAGAAAAGCTCACGGACCAACAATTTCCCTAAATACTTACTTCAAGTTGAAACTGACATTAAGTACCATCAGAATTAGAGTTAAATCCCCGCAGACTATAAAGGGTGTGTGGCGTTTGCCTAAATAAAGTTTCATCTTGATTATAGTTTTAGCAGTATTGTTGGTCTCTCTTAACAGCCGGCTTAGTTTGGACGGGATTACTATGCTAAATCACCAGTATATTCATTCATCCAAAGAGAATTTGTGTGTCTCCATCTCATTAATATTCGAAGTAGCTCCGGGCGCATTAGTCGGCTAAATGCACTTTCACTGTCGGTTCGCAATCGCCCCTAAAACTCGGCCCCATCCCGAAGTAGCTGGTTAATAGCAGCTATGAACTAACTCCTCGCAACTCCTAATTGCCTGGTGTCGACTCCGCGAACTCGTCGAGATTTATTGGGGACATTTTGCGGGTACAATTTATAATTGAAGCACGGGGCTGCTTATTAAATTAGGTATCGTTGGTAACGTAAATTATGTGCGTCTTTGAAATTTATTTTATTGCCATAGAATTCATTAAATTAAAAACTCTGATGTATTTAGTAATGTATTTATTCTTATTATTTTAGTAATTATTTATACGCTATGCGCTTGTATTCTCTTGAGTTTATTCATATTCTGTTGTTATAAAACCATTAAACGTGGCTATGATTTCGAGTTCAAAGACCTTTTACGAAATACAATAAACCTGCGCCTCACTTCAAAGGATATGCGATGCCTTATACATTTCGTTACTAACATATGTCTGTCTTCTAACGAGCTTATATTCGATTTCTGCGAGTCGAAGACATATTCAATTCTTTGGATTAAAGAAACTGCTTTGATTGCTCGCTTGGAAACACATTAAGGCCTCGTTAGTCATGTATGACTTAGATTTCATGTCTGAAGTTATAAGGCAAATTGAATACTCGTCTAAACGGGCTCCCTCTATCTAGCAAAATTATATTGCTCCGAAATTTATTTGGCATAATTTTCTTTACACGATTATTTTTAAGGCATATTTTTTTGTGAATATAAAATTGTTTGGTCGATTGTTTAGATATAATATGTCCGTTTTTACAATAATAAACAAACTTACAATCGCAGAATTTTACTTAGCACAATTACCTTTGGCAAAATTTAATTCTGCATAATTTCATTAAACATAACGTTTATTTATTCTAGTGGGATAGGTGAGTGTGTGTCGCGGCAGTCACCTGTTATATTCTTAGAGCATTGCTCTAAGGTTATATTCGATAAATATTACAAAGAAGAGTTAAATATTTATTCGTATGCCAAACGACGATTTTACTGTCAATTTTCTGCAATATGATGGTTCTGCTCGTTCTGCTTTATGAATATTGTGGATGAATTTATGCCTAAAGGTGATTCTGGCTCACAAATTTATGCGTTTATATGACTGCTAAATAATTTTCGGCGAAATGAAGTTGATGCCATCCGCTGATATGAATAATAAAAGTTCTATGATACAAGGGTAGATCCCAACTAAATGTGTAGCTCCGAATTTATATTATAAAGAAATGGTCTTGTTGTAATCAATGAGGGTTAAATCCTTTAAAACCCCTTTAGCACTGGAAGAAAATTATAGCGTTTTTTTTAATATTTTGCAGTTCAAAACTTCTCGGCTTTGTTTGTTCACTGGTGGAGTCATGTAGCACGGTACAACAACACATGCTGCAGTGCCGTGGGTTCCTGGTAATCTCGCACATGCTTCAGAGATGCAGTCGCGATCACCTCACACCGGACACGCTAGCTTCGTTCTTACATCTAACAAAACATCTTGTGACGTGCTGTTCTCCTAATTCTGATCTCCTATTAAAACAGGTATGTATGAGTTTGTAGATTTTTCTACGCAAACATCCCCCCCCCCCCATCAAAGAAGCTTACGCAATTAGATCTGTCACAAAGGGCGGAAAACAGAGAACAAACAAAATAGTATATTTCATTACTAGTACGGAATCGTTGTCATTGCAAAGAGCTCCGACAAATGTCTACCCGAGCCGAAGGCGAGGGTTGACAGTCGGAACGAGTTGCAATGACGGTTCCGTACGTGTACTGAACGACTATTTTTAATACAGTTGCGAAAAAATGAAGCAATTTAATCAAATTATAAAAACACAATAAACTCAATTAAATAATAATCATTTATTTCTTATAAAAGTTATAATTCACATATACATTGGAATTGGTACAGTTTTTTATACTAACTGGGGAAGTTTTACGTTGCATATTTACTGTTTGAGACAAACTATTATTAATTTCGTATGATTGTTCATGTATATTTGTCATACAATGGCGTTTGCTAGTTGATGGAATTGGATCTGATGAATTATCATTATCAAAGAAGGTACTCGTAGATGGACGAACGTTCTCTTCAGCATGTGAAGGAGACGGACTGGACCTTAAATTAATGGATTGTGTGATCTTTTTCCCAGTTTCTAGTTTGTTGTTTAATGAATCACCAATATAGCTTTCTGCAACTTTGTCCGATTTCCAACCACCTAATCGCTTTAAGGACGTCAAATTGGCTCCTGAATCGCCAATAATGTAGCAGAGGTCCTTCTGAAGCTGTGCCCAGTATAACACTCAGCATCCGGCAGACCAAGAAACGTAGCTATTTCTTTTGGCATATTACCAAATTTGTTTATGCCGATTACTTGAGCTGTACACTTCCCTTTTTAGAAATTTTGAAAAAAACGGTCGGAATTTCCTTTTTGGGACCGCTGGTTCATATATTTTTTCACTATTGTGAGAAAATCTCCTTCAACAACAAAGCTTCGCGGTATCTTATTTTTTGTGTTTGGAATCTTGATAAGTAGCATTTCTCCATGGGCTTCAATATCTTTTAAAGTAATATTGGCTAACTCCTCTCTGCGGCAAGCTCCAACAACGCCAAAAATCAGAGCAACCTAAAAAAAACGATTTGATTCATATAAATAATGTATTGACTGTATTTTGCGATTTTGTAAACTGAACACTAAAGAAAAATGTAGATATGTATACTTATTAATAAATTACCTTTGTGGCTAAATAACAATCATCGGGAGCTTCTTTCAAAAACCTTTCCACGTCATTCGATGTTAATATTTTCGACTTTTTACTGGTAAACCCGTCTGATTGTCGTTTTAAGAAAGAATTTAATTTTGGATATTGACTTATATCCACGTTGTTCCTTATTTTCAGCATACTTTTTATCATCGAAAACCTTGACCATAACGTAGAAGGTTTTAATTTTGCTGAGAGTTCGGAAAAGTATGCCAACATAACATTTTCTGAAAAACTATTTGCTTTTTTCTCTTCTTTCCACGCAATAAATTCATCGTATGTAGATATGTAGCGAATTTTTGACATTTCCGGTAAAATGTTCTCCGAAGCGAAGCATTTTGTTCAATTATACTGAGTTCCGGTGGAGTTAATTCAAAAAAATTTAGGTCGAAATTACTCATTTTGTGTAAAAAACAACTAAACTCGCAAAGAAAATTTCGGAAAATGGCGCCAACCGTAGAATGTAAGCAGTTTTTTTTCACCCATTCTGGTAGGCAAAGGGAACTGCCCATACAGCCAAGTCTTTAGTACTTAGTATTTTTTATTATAAGAAATGAAATTGAAATTTAATGATATGAAATGAACTTAAACCTTACCTAACTCATTCAATCAATTAATTTATTCTGATATTGGACAAATTAGTATAGGTAGCTTCTTTTTAAAAACAAATAAACCTATTTGCATGAATCGCAAAAACTTCTATGATTTTTTTTAGTTAAAACTTCATGGTTGTTTTTTTTAATAGAAATAATTTTGACAGTTGGGAAAGAAAACGCACGAGTTCGGGAAAGGCAAAAAAAAGCACGAGTGTGAAATAGCCCAGATCCCGAACGCTACACGTCCCTGCAATACGCCACTTTTTGAGCAACTGTATTAAAAAAATAATAACAAAATTATGCGGATTGCTTTAGAAACAAAATAAAATGTAAATTGAGTCTTGAAATTAGTTTATTAACTAGCAGAAAGATCGATAAAAAGTTTCTGAGTTTATTCAGGACAAACACGTCACATGAGTTACTTATTTCATAATGAAAATAGCAAGAAAAGACTGTTCAACTTTAATTCATTTGACAAGACGATATTTGAAAACTTTTTATTTGTAGTGAACAAAGTAATTCCCTAAATGATCCATTCTTTCTCCATACAACTCTGCCCAATCTTGTACCTCAAGTAGTTATCATGCATTTTTGTGTAGAAAAATATAATTATAATGGGTAATAAACCATTTGTACCACATAAAATGTCGTTTTAACATTTACATATTTTATAATAAATGTGCATATTTATATATTATAACATTTTGCTGCGAAAATCACGTAATTTTTCATACAAACAATAACAATCAAGTTAATGAATTTAAATCCATAGTATTAGCTGTCATCTGTCAATTACTGCGTCTAAGTAAAAACGTTTCTTTATTAGACCAGGGTCGATAATTTTAAAAATGGTGAAAAGTGAAAAAAAAATATAGTAGGATGAAACCCATTAGAAAAGGTAGAGAATATAACAAAAATGAAAGGAAAAATAAATTACGGGCGATCTGAGGTCGGGAAGGGGGAGGGGGTGAGTTTTTAAGGGTAAAAAATGGTTAATCTCGATTTCCGGTAAAACTGAAAGTCCTATGAAAAAAAGTTAAATGGCAAAGTTGTAGGTAATAAAAAGATCTACAACTTTTGTATCGACACTTTTTTCACATAACCTCAAAATTTATGTGAAAAATGCGAATAACCGAGTTTTTGGTTTTTGATTTTTATTTTTTGCAAAAAAAAATTTTTTTCACGAAATTTGGTGAAAACTTACCTTAGTATGTCCCAAACATACAGTAATTTTTTTGATTTAAAATATTCATTTTTTCACCTTATTTTGACTTAATATCCAAAAAGCAAACTAATTTTCAATCGAAAATTCTCACGTCAAAATATCTGCTTTTTTAAAAAAGTTGGGGTGTTTTTTGTTTGTTAAAATCTCTACTTTCTGATGGTATAAAAAAAATATACACTACTATGATAAATGTTCTCAGAAAATGCAAATTAATAATGAAAAAAAATCGAATCCGAAAATCCTATTTTTAATACCTACTTACAACAACTATTATTGCATGTTTTATGGATTTGTAATTTTTCTGTTTATCAATATTACGTGAAATCTTACGTTTTTCGAGTAATTAAAGTGTAAATTTTAATAAATAGTTCAAAATTATACATAATGATTCAAATAAATTTTTCGGATTGGAGTTTTTTTCATTATTAATTTGCAGTTTCTGAGAACATTTACCATAGTAGTGTATATTTTTTTTATACCATCAGAAAGAAGAGATTTCAGCAAACAAAAAACACCCCAACTTTTTTAAAAAAGCAGATATTTTGACGTGAGAATTTTCGATTGAAAATACGGGTGCTTTTTCGATATTAAGTCAAAATAAGGTGAAAAAATGAATATTTTAAATCAAAAAAATTACTGTATGTTTGGGACATACAAAGGTAAGTTTTCACCAAATTTCGTGAAAAAATATTTTTTTTTGCAAAAAATACAAATCAAAAACCAAAAACTCGGTTATTCGCATTTTACACCTAAATTTTGAGGTTATGTGAAAAAAGTGTCGATACAAAAGTTGTAGATCTTTTTATTACCTACAACTTTGCCATTTAACTTTTTTTTATAGGACTTGCAGTTTTACCGGAAATCGAGATTAACCATTTTTTACCCTTAAAAACTCACCCCCTCCCCCTTCCCGACCTCAGATCGCCCGTAATTTATTTTTCCTTTCATTTTTGTTATATTCTCTACCTTTTCTAATGGGTTTCATCCTACTATAATTTTTTTTGGTCTCAAAAATTATCGACCCTGGTCTATATATGCAGATACACTTATTAAATTTAGATTTTCAGCAATTTAATTTATTGAATTTATTGAGATTTTGCTGAGTGAGTCTTTTTAAGTATAATTTTAGATGTGTTTTGAGAGAATTTGTAACGAGGTACAAAATTGAGCAAAAATCGAAGGTCTTCTTTGACTTCACTAATTTCATTAAAGGACATTACTGTGATATTTGCCTTGATTGCAATATAAATTAAACGATATCCCAGGTAGCTAAAAAATATAATTTTGCTATCATGAATTCTTTAGAAGTAATGGCTATCGTAAAATGGCTATTAGTTTGAATAAGTCTGTTAACTTAAATTGAATTATCTGATTATTTTAAACCTAGCAGAAGTTTTGAAGTTTTGTGTTCAAGTTAAGAGTTTTAAGTCTCACATTATTACAAGTAATAGCACTTTTAGTTCTGGCTGTGGAATGTGAATTTGTTCTATACAACCAGAGATTTTACAAAATGTTAATAAATTATACTTATAATGAAATCTCGGATATTCGACATAACGCTACTCACAGACACATATTTAATATGGGTATTCACTCTCTTAACTAAGACAAACTAGACAACTATTCCATAACGTAATTGGCAACTTTTCTCAGTTTCATGATGTAATTTACGATCGCCTTGGCGTGTGGTACTGCACTCCCTGCCTTAATGTTTACACTTTACGCTCCGTTAATCTGGCTTTACGATGGTTTACGCTGCTATATATGAATTAAACATAAGCTCTTGAGGAACCGCCTTAATTTCGCGTTAATTTGAAAATGTTTCCTTAATGTTTATTAGGAAAATATTTTTTTTAGTAAGAAATCACGCTTTCGTACGCTTTTACGTTAAAGACATTAAAATAACTAAACAGATTATCATATAATGGTTTTAGTCCAATGATAGCCCTTAAATCGTACAGTCGGTTTAATGGATTTCGTAGTCAGCAGAATTAGCGACGTACAATTTTCAAGTCAACCAATTTCAATAGATACATATTGACTCCAGTCCGATTGAGTTGGGTGTGAGGTTAGTGTGTACTTTGCTTATATTGCTGACTTTACGAATACTCACTAATCCCTGTAGATGAATAGGAGTCGATTTTACAAAACGGGAAACGTAGTCACGTAACAGCTCGTCGGATTACCACAAAATGTCAAAATTCTTTAATTGATTTTGAACCTTCATATCTACTACTATTGAGGTTGCAAATTGATTGGCGAATTTTGAATTATAATGTTGCTTGCTAACCAACAACATTATATCATAAACGTTATTGAGAAATCGACCCCTGGATAACTTTGTATGATATTATGCATTTGTATATTTATAATTTTCACCGTTTTCTCTCGATTGACCTTTGTAATATATGTATTAATAAAAGTTGCATTGCTTACGGTCGCACCTAGAGATTTCAATACAATGAAATGCTTGTCAGTGAACTGTTATGTTATTCTATTTCTAACACAAATAAAATCGATGCGATATAAAATTGTGTGAATCTTAAAAACTATTTGACACCATTAATTTTTTAAATTCAACCAATTTTTCAATCCATGGATGCACTAGATTCGTGATATATTATTTATTATACGGACGAACAACAGAAAAGCTTGTGTTATTTTGACGGTTTGTGGACGATATTTCTTTTTGTTTTGAGTTTTTTTTTTTGATAGATAGTTTTTATCCAATATTTTAAATGACTGTCCAAATCGTATTTTTTATAATGCTAATTCAACATAGAGTTAATGGTGAAACTGCACGTCCAAAAAAAACTACTGGCATACCGACTTTTTAGATGGGAACAAAAATATACTGACAATATATAAGTCAAATTGTTATGTGGCAATAAGATACAAGATTATGATTTCATTATTTTGTAAATATTAGAATACTGAAGGTATTTTTGTTTCCAATATACGTGTAGCCATATCTTTAGTTGTGTACCTACTTAAATTAAGTTTTATCAATGGTTGTTAGCGCATGCTCTTATTGCTTCCACCTTCTGTCTCAAGATACCCCCTCACTTGTTGTCAAGAGAAATAAACGAAATAAAACCTAAGGCAATTTTATAATGTAAATAAATATACAAAACAGAATCAATTTCTTATAAACAAGGTTGACTTTGTTCTAGATCTCGTTGTATCTATTTTATCTTTCTATGATATGTCAACTTTACTTCGTTCGTTTACTTTCTCTGGAGCCATTCAATCCAATATCACAGAATAAAGACACGTTATGCATTGAATAGTTTCCTGAAGCCTTCCAATATTCCCTTTCACCGTTTTGAATACACCAACTTGTCCTTGTCGGTACAAACACTTCACTTTTGATATTTAAACACTGAATATTTAGACACCGTTCGCCCTTCAAAGGCTAGTAAGTATACATTACTTTTGGTACTTTTCTACGATATTAGCCTTATAACTACCCTAATGCTTTAACACTGCAAATGCATAATTTATTAGAATTCACTGAAAATATCACATTTTTGTAAAATTTACTGGTGGGATGAAATGGTTAAAATGAGTTAGCACAGCTTATGCAACTAAAGCTTAATGGATAGTGGAAAAGGATCAATAGAATAAAAGAACGATTAGAGGAATTACATATAGATGAGTATTACGTATAAATCCTAGTTCACGTTTATATTACAGAAGCATATTAACTTTTAATACGAATTCAATACTACAACCTTTACTAAGTTTTTGAAAAATTGCTTAAAGACATTCATATTTATCTCCACATTCAGAAGAACTAATAATATATATTTTTGTGACACTCAATTAATGTCAAGATCAAGAAGTTTAAAATTAACTTTATATCCATGTCCCGTACACGATAAAGCAAGAGAGCAAACGCTATCAACCATCGGGCAGTAAAAGGTTAATGCTAATAGCAGTCCTTCTGCCAATCTTTCCTCACTTGGCAGCTGCTAGACCACATTCTGTTCAACCCGGCGCTGTGGATCCACACGCCGGCAGCGGTGCAGGCCCGCCTGTACTGCTACCTGGCCACGGACTTCCTGGCTGACGCTCATATTTATGGAAGCGTTAGAAGAGTTAGCACAGTCCTGCAGACGGTGCACACGCTCAAGTTCTACTATTGGGTGGTGAATCCTAGGACGAAGAGCGGTATCACGCCTAAAGGAATGGGTGAGTATATATTTTTTATTTTTTCTGACATCATGACATAGTTAAAGCATTGGACAAAAATCCTTGGTAGAATAAAGGGTTATTATATTCAGATGGCTCTGTCTCATTAAAACCTGCGACCAGTGTCTTAGATTTTAACTAGATTCTGAAAGCCGTTTAAAAGTATTTCGGTAACTGTTTAAAGTTTCTAAAAATACCTAGTCAAATAAGTATGTGAATTATATTACAAATATTGTTTTGAAATATATATGCTATAAATAAATCTTTCGAGTTGATCATAATTTCACAACTAAAGCTTTTCTTACCGAAATTAATCAAAAACGTTTTTATATAAAACGTCGACAATAAAATACATCTTCTTTATTTGTTAACAGCGGATATAGAACGCCATTAAGGAAGTAATCTGTTGCTGTCTTTTCCCAAATTGTTTTGCGATTCGGTACGATGATAATAATTGGGCTAAACGGCATCAAATTTGCGGCCCCTGATCTGTCTCTGTCAAAAGCAAACTTTATGATACGGAAACCATTATAACGTTAACGGCTGCTTCTTTGCCAAACGATTTGAGTTTGGAGGCCTTAGATGGTGATATTGTAAAGATCCTCATTTGATTACGTTTTGCTTGACTACCCAAAAAGGCAAAGTTCACATTTTGTTAGTGAAAGTAAAAGCGATATCAATAAATTTGAATGAGATTTCGAAACAAATAAAGTTACTGAGTTAAACGCTTTGAAAACAAAATTTTCTCATAGCTTCCTTTCAAAATTTATTTGCAGAAACGGCAGTACTTATAGACTTTACCACAGAACAATGTCTTGACGTTAACCATCATTTTCAAAAGTTTATTCAACTTTTACTAACTTTTCAGAAAACGTAGAAAGATGTTTTTTAAAGCGAGGAGTTTTTTTGTTCACATAGCCGGCAATTCGTGCTCTATTTCAATAAACGCTACCAGGACTGAATAACTCAAAAGAGTTTATTTTCACAGATGGTCCGCGCCCTGCACACAAGGACATACTAACAATACGTGCCTACATCCTTCTATTTCTAAAACAACTTATCATGATTGGTAACGGCGTGAAAGAGGACGAACTACAGTCGATACTCAACTATTTAACAACTATGCATGAGGTATGCATCCCTGGTACTTTAGATTGTGTATTCGAAAGGGGTTTAGAAACTTTATATAGAAAAAACGCAGCAGCTTTTATGGTAACCCGTTTGAGATGACTTATTCTGAGTCGGAAATGTTATTCTCGTTGTTAACTAAAGTTTATTTTTTCCTGTATTCCTATTTTCTTTTATATTTACAATGTTTTTGCAAAAGGATGTAAATCACCAATATTTGTTTTGATTGCGATATTAAAAATCTTATATCTGTATCGGTTGTAGTGCTGGTAATATGTATTATTATTTCAGGATGAGAACTTGCACGATGTTTTACAAATGTTGATCTCATTAATGTCAGAACATCCAAGTTCAATGGTTCCTGCGTTTGATGCTAAGGTAGGTTATTTTTTTTTATATAAGTATATTTTTATTACATTAAGTGGTTAATAACTAAACCAAAATCATCTTCTAGGGTGGAGTGAGAACAATTTTCAAATTATTGTCTTCGGAAAGTCAACTCATAAGACTGCAAGCGTTGAAGCTTCTGGGATTTTTCCTTAGTAGAAGTACACACAAGTAAGTTATGAAGAATTATTTACTTTTCATTTCTGTTCTTCTCATGTTTTCTATGTATATTTTGAAAACCTGTGAAAGGCCGTCGAAATTAATAATGTTACGTGTGTATGTACTCCTTGAATATGGACTTAAACTGACATCTATTTCATCGTTTATCTGTGTCATATAAATTAATAAACATAAATGTGGCCGTTTGGACATAGCACTTAACAGTCTGTTTACGTTTTCAGACGCAAATACGACGTGATGTCTCCTCACAACCTGTACACGTTACTGGCGACGCGTTTAGGCGCGTGCGGGGAAGGATTAGCGTTGCCCGTCTACAACGCGCTGTACGAGCTGCTCACGGAACACGTGGGACAGCAGATCTTGTACACGAGCCATCCGGAACCGCAGCCGCATTTCCGCCTAGAAAATCCCAGTAAGTGTCCATCACCCATTTATATAAGTTCCTCTTTGAATATAGAGGAATGGCAGCGGCCAGAAGCGACGCTAGGATAGATTAAATAGCGTTGTCCGTGTACAACGCGGTATATGAACTGCTACCGGAACACTTGGGGCTGTACACGAGCACATTGGGACCGGAACCACAGCCGCATTTCCGCCTCAAGAAGTCTCTAGCTTCTACCAAATAAGATCTTGATTAGCTCAAGCGTACCTCAAGTCGCAGTCGCGAGAATTCTAGCAAATTCTCGCCACATCTAACTTACATGTAAGTAGTATTAACCAGAAAGTAATGAGACAAGACACATTCTACGTTTTTCTTTAACTTTTTAAAGAATACAGCATGAAAGGTGTAGTTATATTTCATGCTAACAAAAAGAAAAGATGGGGAGAAATAGAGAAAACGATATCTGTGACTTTGGTATACGTCTAGTCTAACTCAAACAGATAGGAAAGGTTTCTGTTGTATATAAAACAAAGTCGTGTCAGTTAATAAAGTACACACAATACACGGGAACTATGTATTAGACACAATAAGAACGTATCATTTCATTCGTAAGTACAGTTTTAAAGAAATTAATAAATAAATATTTATTGACTACTTGTTTTGACAGTTGCTGACACAATTGTAATTTGTTTTATGCATGAGAGTGAAAAATACTACTTTAGGGTGCTCTATTGGCGATTGTTGCCAAGGGAAGTTGGGGCGGAGACTGCTTGTGCCATTTTAATATGCAACAATGTTAGCGTATAACCTGTCTATATATTATACGTCATTGGACGTATTACGTATTTAATCTTACAGCGGGTAGAATCCGGAAATTAATGTACGTATTTAAAAAACTTCGCGTTGTTGCCGATCCATGCATAATTAGGAGGGTGTATATTTCTATCTGCCAGTCTCTTCTGATATATTGTATCACCTCTTGGGGCGGTTCTGCGAAAACCAATATGATTAGACTGGAAAGAGCTCAAAGAGCCCTCCTTAAGGTATGCACATTCCTTCCCTACCGTTTTCCTACCCATGTTCTCTTACAATATTGTGAGCTATTGTCAGTACGCCAGCTTTTTATCTTGTACACCATTCTTAAGCAGCATCGTGCTATTGATTATCTCTCCCCTACCACTCAGTCCCGTCGTAATCATCTAATTGTACGCTCGTTGTCATTTAAAACATATTATCCCCGTCGATTTTTCTGTTTCTTAGGGCCTTTTCTGTATAATAGACTTCAAAAGAAACTCAATATTTTCGCTCTTGATAGATATCATTGTAAACTCTCAGTAACATCCTTCTTGCAAAAAATTAACTATGATGATACTGAAAAACTACTACTCCCGATCAGATAGTTATGTCTCAATCCTGTTAACAACAAACTTATTAAGTAATACTTAAATTATTCGGAGCGTTTCTGGAGGTTTGTAAATGTCTGGGTAGAAAACACAATATTACACACACTATAAAATATCCTACGATCGTTGTTAGTTCTATTTTATCACTTCATCAAGTAAATACACCTGTCTGATTTTGAAGCTGTAAAGTAACAATCTGCGGGCAAGTGCATATAAATTAATTGTATGATGGTATGTGACTTAGGTTTAAATCGTGTTTTTGCTTAGTCTTCTTTTCTTGTAGTGGTTTTGAAAATCCATTATAGTAACTGTGACAACGTATAACTCTTTGCTTCTTCCATAAAAATGTGCTTTGTAATTAACTTAATACAAGTTTGTATTGGCTCTAGTATCGATCATTGTAAATGAAGTCATTATTTGGATATATGTGGTATATTATATATTCTCCTACAGGTATTTTTATATGTAGAAACTTACTTTGTTAAGATAAGATAAAACGGTCACCTTACAAAGAGGAGGGTACTGGTGCACTGAGATACAAGCTTTCGCTTAGTTCAGGTACCAGTCTCTCGCAATCTTATAAAATATCCTAATATAGTTTTTAATTATAAGATGTAACATGTAGATTGTTGGAGAAAATAAATAAAGTTATTATTAAGTTATTATTATTATATTGGACGTATAATATATATAGATACACGTTATCAGTCAAAGAATCACATCAATAAATAAATGCGGTTTGCTATTCTGCCATCTTCCACAATTGACTGCGAAATTGTTAACAAATCTATGTTTGACACACACCACAGTGATCCTGAAGGTGGTGGCGACGTTGATTCGGCAGTCGAAGCAGACAGAGCAGCTGTTAGAAGTGAAGAAACTGTTCCTGTCCGACATGACGCTGCTGTGCAGCAACAACCGCGAGAACCGGCGCACCGTGCTGCAGATGTCCGTGTGGCAGGTCACTTGATCTTTATACTGCTTAATCTAATGGATGTTTTAGTAGAAAAAAAAATCCACGCTGTCCAGACACCCTCCGCTATCCGGGCGGATGAACTGACGAAGAGAGGGCGCTGCCTTGCAGCCTAAGAATTACTAGAAGAAATACGACTTGGCCATTAAAGTCACGGTAGCATAGTCAGTCACTGCATCTGCCTGTAATAATATTATTATTTTATAATAAAGCATTTGAGTAAATTCCAAAATTTCTGTTTGGCTTCCCTACTCTGTGGCTAAGTTCATATGACAGTTTAGGTAGGTACGCGCTACAGCAGCGCGGTGCCACGCGATTATGTAATCGATTTTAATGTTACTTCGGTGTGTATTGACACATTGTTTTTTAAAGTTGCGTTAGTGATATTTGTTTGAAGGTAATTTTAGGATACCAAAGTAACAATTTTATTGGGATCAAAGGACACCAAAAAGCCGAGTTGATATTTGAAACTATCAAACTTACCGTCAGCTTTTGAATAATTGCAGGAATGGTTGATAGCGATGGCATACATCCACCCCAAGAACGCGGAGGAGCAGAAGATCTCGGACATGGTGTATTGTTTGTTCCGGATGCTGCTGCATCACGCCATCAAGCACGAGTACGGCGGGTGGAGGGTGTGGGTGGATACGTTGGCGATCGTGCACTCTAAGGTGAGCGTGGTTAAAGGTGCATACGAGTTTTTTTATTATTATTGACTCCATCCCATCTGATATTAAGTGACGGTGTAGTCCAGACGTGAAGGTAGCTGGTACAGCAGTTCTACCTGCCACACCAGCAATCCTCACCTTTTAAAGGAATCCGGGTTGTAAGAAGGAGGCATTCGGTAAGGTTTCGGGTATATTTTCACTTTCATTTTGTACAACAGCAACATTCAAATTGGTTATGTATGGAACGAATATCGTTTAAGTTGTGACTCTCTCCGGGTTTGAAAAAACACCAAAGAATTAATATTATAAAGTAATATTAATTTAAGTAACCGTGTTAATAATAACACTCAGTATACAATGTCTTAGGTCCACTTGCTATAATTTTTCTATATCTCGATTTAATTAAAAAAAGATTTTGTTCATAACATAATTTCAGATTGACACATTGGCGTTTATTCTGTGGGTTAAATCATTTTTTTCTTTAAATCGAGATTAAGCATATTGCTGTAAATGGCTGAACTGAACTCCTTTGCTTTAGACTCAGCGGATCACATGACGATGACGCAATTTTCCCGCCAGTTTTGTTCATCAAGCCGAATCTTGTAGTAATTAACACATTTTTGCGGCCTGTTTTCGCAGCAGTTATGGACGTGATATCACATCGTCGGTAACTGCTTCGGAATCTGGCATGACCGTTGATACTCTCTCACTTTGTTGTAATTCTCGCTTTCCTGTCGCTTCTAATCTGCACTATATACAAATGACATTATTTAAATAAATAGTAGATTAATTAACCAAGGGGACAAAGCAGTGTCTTCTGTCGCGGGTGACGATTTAAATCGCGAGTGTAACGAAGGACTCGAGGTTTACTCCCGAGCGATGCGAGGGTGTTAAAAACTAAAATCACGAGCGAAGCGAGGGATATAAGACGAGTCCTGAGTGTAGCGAGGGATTTAAGTTCACCCAAGACTAAGACAGCTTTATCACCGAGGAAAATACTCTACTTTTCGTACCATTTGCGAAAAAATTAACACAATAATAATATGAGATAAGCATTTGTTAAAAATAATGACAATTAAAAGTAAAAATTAACATTCGAAACATTGGTCCAATTAAATACGGCCTTGTTGGTTTTCGTAATTTTATTTAATAATCATACCTGCACAATAAATGCGTATTCCTTTTTCAAAAAGATGTATAATACTTTATATACAAACCAGTATTAATTTCGGTAAGTATTCCAAATTTAAATCACATTCTCCCCCTAGAGGTGAATGAAATTCAGTACAATTTTCTTTCCATGTTTTTAACAGATTAAAAATGACTATTGTTATGTTCGCTTTTTGTGGCATAGAATGTCACTTTTTTGAGCAAGTGGTACGAAAATACTTTTTAGTTGCGGTTTTTAATATTTTTATATATTTCTTTACGTTTGTAAAGGGATCCGAAACGAAGGGAAATGTATGAAGGTATTAAAAAACGAATCGAAACCCGTTGAAAATGAGTTTTATATAATAAGTGTTGTGCGTGAAAACATAAGAAATAAATAACACTAATTACTTACAGGTGTCGTACGAAGAATTCAAGCTTCAATTCGCTCAAATGTACGAGCACTACGAGCAGCGGCGCGCTGACAACATCACGGACCCGGCGGAGCGGCAACAGCGCCCCATCTCCACCATATCCGGCTGGGACCGCGCCCCTCCGCCCGCCCCCGCCCCCATTTCCGCTTCCGTTTCCGTTTCCGCTACTGGAGTTCTTCACCATGCTGCCCAAACTGAAATAGGCGATGGTCTTTCTTTAAGAGACGTCTCTTCCTGCCCTTGCGGTCCTGGTACCGATCCCTTATATAGCGAAGTCTGCAAACTACATTCCCCGAAAAAACCCCGATCTGTTGAAATTGAACACGCGGTCGACGAAGATGAAAGAAAGTCCATCGAAGCCGACGACGAACTAGTCGACTCGATCATGAACGATAATAAGTTTTTAGAAAGCACCGAATCGGGCATCGCTACCGTTGAAAACTCTGAGAAAACAGACAAACCTTTAACGCGACAGGGTAGTTTAGATTATATCCCAGTGAGAGACGTGGGAGACGATGTTTCGAAAGACGACAATACCGACAGAAGCGAAGGGATTCCCTCCAGCTTGTCGGCTAGTGAAACCGCCAGTCCTGAAAGAAACGCCGAACCAAATGCGACGGCAGAAAGAGAATCGGAATTATCTGATCCCTCGGAATTATATCTAACGCCTAGTGAAGCCACCAGTCCGAGACGAAGTAACGACGAAGCTGAAACGATCGTTTCAGAAGAAATCACAGATCCGAAGCACGTCGCCGCCGATATAGTGAACGACGTTCTCACCGTTGCTTTGGAAACGGTGAGGGCGAAAACGGAAGAAGATCCCGATTCTGGGGCGATATCTGGTTTCTTGCATTCGGAAGGCGATACGCCTAATGGTCGCGAAGATCTCGAACAAGAAATCGAGGATATTGTCGAAGAAAAACAGACTGCTGAAACCGTCGCTGCCGAAATCCTAAACGATATCTTAGCAAATATGGTCCTAAAGGACACGAACGAGGAGGAAGAAAGTGATGTAAATAAAATGACGGAAGATAATAGTCCTCAAAGGGTTTTACCGTCGGATCATCCTCACGAGGGCAACGTTTTACCTCTGGATGGCGAATTTCTAGTCAGCTCTGTTAGAGAGGAGGAAGTCAAGACTGAACCGGAAATAGTGACAGACGTTTCGGAAGAAAACGCGAAAAACGTCAGTCAAAGAATGGACATTCCCGAACAAGAGGAACCAGAAACGCCCGAAATACCCCCGATATCGACGATTAGTGAAAATATTTCGCTGGCGAATAAAAGTGAGCAGACTGATGATGATAGGAGTAGAGAGAGTGAAAGAGACAAACGACGCGTGAGCTTACCCGGTGATAGTGAGATGAAGCAGGACGGCACTAGAAGTGAAGGGGTCGCTACGCAAGGAACCAATACCTCTACGTCGCCAAAAAGGCCACGAAGCGCTTCCACTAGTACGCAAGTGGATTCTAACCATTTTGGTAAGATGTTTTTATCAGCCATCATGAGTAAATAATCTTATGCTATAGGGCCACACTATAGCGATAACGCGAATATTTGCGTCGACGCTAGGGCAACGCTATTCCACTATGAATCGAGCTAGTGCCTCGGAATAAAAAGTTAAGCATAGAAGTAATTTCTTGACTTTTGAGCGTACACTCCTATAGACAATAGAAAGGAAAACATTTCGAAACAAAGTATTACTCAACCAAAAAGTATTAGTGGCGAGTTGGCTGGTTGCATATGCTATTAGATCGCTTTTTGATTCGGTATCGTAGAGGTAACAAGCCATATAAAGGTGTCCAATTTGACATTTATATAGCGGTTCGCACGTTGTTCATAGTTTGGTTCACAGTGACATATATTATATAGTCCCTTTTTTCATCTATAAGTAAAAAAAAAGTATGTGAGTTGACTTTATGAGTTAATTTAATCTCTTTCTTCCTCTGAGGGTAGTATCGACGAAAACTAAGCTTTCCTATCACAGCCCTGACTATATTGTTTTGTGGCTTATTCTTTTTACACAGTATTTCAATTGTGTAATAAAGAAAGAGCTCCACTATTCATTTCCGTGAATACTAAGTAAAGAAATCTTTTATTTGTTTAATTCTTCTACAAATGTTCTTGACTTGTAGTAAAATAAATGTGTTTCTCAACATCAGAGTCAAAGCGGCCGTCGAAGTGTTCGCGCGCGATGTTCTCTCCGGGCCCGACGCGGCCCCCGTTCCGGATACCGGAGTTCCGGTGGTCGTATATACATCAGAGACTGTTGTCCGACGTTCTGTTCTCGTTAGAGACAGATATACAGGTTGGAACATTAAAATTATTGTTATCATAATCATAAATCATTTATTCCTCACCATGATCCAATGAGATAACAGAAGTCAAATGTTTCAATACAAGACGATACAAGATTATGGCGTGTTTATACCTGAACAAGGAAAGATCCTGTATCTCAGATTATCAACCCTCCATCATCTCACTATTTACGAACAATATTTGTGCATTATGTTATCTTTTAGATAAGTTAAGGTATCAATAGTTTTGAAAACATGAGACTAATGCCGGCACTTCAGCCGGCTATTCGGGTTTGCCATGAATTTGTAAACTTGACATCAGTCTGTTCTTTTCGTTCCTTATAAAGTTTGATAAGGACAGAATGTTGTGAAGTTTACAGATAGCAAATACGAATAGCCAAGTGTAGTGACAGTATAAGAGAGAATAAATTGAATTTAGTTATAATTTAAAGAAAAGTTTACTAGAAAAAAAAAATCCACGCGGACCAGGCAGCGGACGGGACTAGTTATAATTTTTATTTTTTCAGCATGAAACTGCTCGATGTTGAAATCTAAAGAAAATATTACTAGAAAAAAATCAAAATACAGGCAGCAGACTAAGAAAGGCTAGAAAGGATTCGACACGGCCATCAGTGCCGCGGTAGCATAATGGTCAGTGCATTCGCCCGGATAGCGGAGGGTGCGAGTTAGAATCCCGTCTGCTGCCTGGTCCGCGTGGTATTTTTTCTAATAACATTTTCTTTAGATTTAAATTGAATTTAATTGATTGAATTTTTGTTCCTGCCTGGAACCACCTGGCTGCCACCTCTGAGATGTCCAGACGGAACACTAACTCATAAGCCGCAGGAGAAAGCCGATTTACTGGCAAAACTCTTTGCGGCTAACTCCCGAATCGATGATTGCAATGCACTGCCACCATTATTACCTCATTGTGGCACAACGATGCTTGATATCAAAATCAGACAGCGTGAGGTTCGTACCGAATTGCAATCACTCGACGTCCGGAAAGCTAGTGGACCTGATGGCATCCCAGCAGTAGTATTGAAAAAATGTGCAGCGGAGTTGTCTCCCGTGCTCACGCGTTTGTACCAGTGCTCATATTCTTTGGGGCGTGTGCCGGAGACTCGGAGAGATGCTAACGTGCAACCGATACCCAAAAAAGGGGATCGCTCAGACCCGGCAAACTACCGGCCAATAGCAGTCACCTCAGTATTATGTAAAGTCCTAGAAAAGGTCCTTAACAACCATCTGACCCGCTACCTAGAGGGATCACTTCCTGATTAATGATCGTCAATATGGTTTTACACCGAAACGATCGACGGGTGATCTTCTAGCGTACTTGACCCATATCTGGGGTGAGGCTATCGACAAGCGGGGCGAGTCGTTGGCTATCAGCCTAGACATTGCCAAGGCATTCGACAGGGTCTGGCACAAAAGCCTTCTCTCCAAGCTTCCGGCATACGGTCTGCCCTCCCAGTTCTGTTCTTGGGTAGCTGACTTTCTGCATGAGCGTAGAATTCGTGTCCTTACGGACGGTAGCAGTTCGCGGTTCATGTCAGTGAATGCCGGCGTTCCCCAGGGCTCCGTCCTATCCCCCACTCTCTTTCTGCTGCATATCAATGACCTAATTCCTCTTGGGAATATTCATTGCTATGCAGACGACAGTACAGTCCATGCGGGGTATCTCGGACATGCAACGGCTGGGCAGGCGGTAACCAAGGAGAAACGGGAGAATCTTGTCATTGAACTCCATCAGGCTTTGGACCACATCCCTAGAATGTGGTACCAAGAACTTGGTTGAGTTCAATGCTAGTGGCGTCACTAAGCGCGTTCTATCGTCTGTACCACGGCGAGTGTTCTGAGGAGTTATTCTCTCTTATTCCACCTTCCCCTTTCCTCCAGAGGACCACGCGCGCTGGCTTACGTTGTCACCGTCTAACTGTGGCTACAACTCCAACGCGCACAAAGAAATTTGGTGACTCATTTCTCTGTCGTACTATCCGTGAATGGAATGCTCTGCCCGCTCACGTGTTCCCTCCCTCTTACAACCTGGGATCCTTTAAAAGAGGCGTGAAGAAGCAACATGCAGGCCGGCAGGGTGAGGATGGCTGGTGTGGCAGGTAGAACTGCTGTATCAGCTATCTTCGCGTCTGGACTTCACCTCCACTTAACATCAGGTGGGGTGGAGTCATTTGTCGGACCTATCTATAAAAAAAAAGAACCCTTTCATTATATTTTTAGTTACCTACTTTGGCAATGAGTTTCGTAAGTTCCTTCGCGTGTATTTATTTAATCTTCTTCTTTTACATTAAAAAATAACTTTTGTTTAAGATTACACATACAGATGAACCTCGATAGAATGACTATTTAAACTACACGCTTTGTAATTTTCATTTATCGTATTGGTAAATAATGTAATTTTACTTTGTCATTCAGCAATATTGAACATTTTAGGTGTGGCGAAGTCACTCAACGAAATCTGTAATAGACTTCGTGAATAGCAGCGAAAATGCGATTTTCGTTGTGAATACGGTGCATCTAATAAGTCAACTTGCTGACAATCTGATCATCGCGTGCGGTGGATTGCTGCCCTTACTGGCGTCCGCCACTTCGCCTAATGTAAGTGTTGTTGGTTTATGATAGCCTTTATGATAGTACCTTTATGACATTTTTGGAATGACTTATGGTTTTTGTTCCGTTTTTATTTCACTTGCATTTTAGTGAAGGTCTAAATGCTAAAAAATGTTGTTTGAAGGCCACAATTTAAAATAAGTGGCAATAAACTTAATATTAGTAATAAATGGTATCGCAAACTTTTTTATTTAAAGAGGAACAATCCGTGTCCGAAAACCATTCCCAAATTTTGAAGTGAAAACTTCTCTAGCGGCGTTGTACACTTTTTTTGTAATGGGTAAAAAGTGTTAACTCGCGTCAGGACACGTGGCATGATCGAAAATTCGTAACACGAAAACAATAAAATTGGAAATGTTGTTGACTTTCAACATATTGGGCGAAACATAGTAATATTTTATTTTATCGTATTATAATAATAACACTCTAACTAGGACGTCTAGGTGGCAGCTTTATTGCGAAGAAAATGCATTTTTTCACAATAGATGTCGCCAGGTGCGCTTCAATGTGATTCATGTAAGTTGATTTTTCTGAGAGATAAACTTTTTTGCAATTCGTGCAAAATTATTTCCTAACCATTCCAAAATATCAAAAATGCACAACATTAATATTCAAGTTTTCACTTCTGCCGGCACTCCCGGAGTGCAACCCATCGTTTTTTTTTTTCTATAATGAGTCACTGTTTATCAATAGGAAATATTTATGTTACCACCACCTTATAATTTTATGGTGGTTACAAGTTATATATTTTTAGGATAATTTAAATATGAGCCTTTCGAAATACGAGATATACATATACAGAATTACTGAAATTGTCATTGCGAAGCCATGCTGTCCTGATTCATTTTATTTTACATATTGCAAATTTATATTTTTTGCATTCTATGAAATAAAGAAATGTGTTTCTCAGAATGAACTCGATGTGATCGAACCGACCCAAGGCATGCCCGTAGAAGTGGCGGTAACTTTTCTACAGCGGCTAGTCAGTATGGCCGATGTCCTTATATTCGCGAGTGCCTTGAACTTCGCCGAATTGGAAGCGGAGAAAAACATGTCCAGCGGTGGGATCCTAAGGCAGTGCCTCAGATTGGTGAGTGGGAAGTATAGATGAAAAAATGCCGATATGAGGTACCTTGGTGGCGAAATGTTACCTGTAGTGTGGTTTTTAGATTTTGTGGATATATCATGGAAATCAAGCCTATAATAAATTTAGTTAAAGAGTAGAAATTAAAATATGTATGTCGTAGCTTGACGATGTTGTATAATATTTTAACACGATGAGATTATACAAAAATAGTTTAGGTTATTTAAGTTGCATAGTTAAATGCAATTAGTTTATTTTAAGTAATCAGATTAATTCCACAAAATCTTTCAAACGCAATTCTTATATATATTTCAATTGTTTGATTTGTGTATTATAAATGTTAAATCTATTTTATATTATATTAATTTAGATCGCTCTATACGAAACTCAAAGTATAGAGAACTTGTAATATTTCTGACTCTATTTATTGACTTCTTGGATGCCTAGAGAGATAAGTTTTGTTTCTATCTATTATATATATATCTATCTATAGTCCAGCCATAGTTTACATTCATAGTGAACTATAGAACAACTTACTGTAGATACACTCTTCTTGGTAAATACTTCTTATTGTTATAGTTTATAGTACGTTTCTGATTCATAGAATGCCAAACTTCGAATTGTGTGTTATTTGCGACTTTCTCTAAGCTTTTTCATATTTGTGCTTTTTACGAGACACATTTTCATAGGATAAATAAAAAAAGTTGCATATTAAGCGATCAACTCTTTCGTTTGATCACTACTTGTACCAGGATCGCATACGCCACAAGAGGGTTTGTTATGCTAAGAGAACAAAAAAAATCTGCGCGAGGTTCTTGAAAAAAAAATCCTTCTTTAATAAAAATTAGGTGAAAGCAAAAAGTTTTTACATTATATAGAAAAATACCTGCGCCCTGGCCCGGAGAACAGTAAAAAAGAGTTCTATAACAAGAAAGGAGGTGAAAGTATAGTTTTTAAAGTTTCAGACATGATTTGAAGTGGGGCGTTCTGTAGGCCTATTCGCTAACGGTTTTTGACAGATGAAAGTGATAATCATCGAGATATATACTGCTTTATTATAACGTCACCAGGACAGTAGTCTAAGACACTGATATTTGTTGACACAATAGTCACGAGTGTGAAACACTTAAACACCTTTTATGTAAATGTAGGTCTCTTATCCACAAACGGATTCATCTGGGACGAAATTATTAGAGGAAATCAAATCTCTAAAAGCTAGAAATGTTTTCAGATATTTAGAAACTGACGGGGTAAAAGAAATACTTTGATTTGGTGGCGACTCACGATAGATTTTTAAGGTTCAGAGCTCCAAATAAATTAAATATATGATTTAATAATTTCGTACCTTCTTTTCTTTGTCCTGATATTTGGACCATGTTACACCGGTCGAACGTTATAAAAGATAAAGAAGGTCTGAATTTTTTTATTAAAGTGCGCGTTTTACCCCGTAAAATCATTTATAATGCAAGGCAGAAGTTTTCAAACTTTAAATAATAATAATACTTGTTATGCATTTTTCTCTTTAGTTACACGACTACCGCTTTATAATAATGTCACTAAGATACTTTAATATGCAATTTTTTCTTTAGTAAAATGTCAAAAAAGTTAGCCAATAGGCCTCCTGTAGTGCGTAGCTATAGCTAGCGCGCGTGGTGTCGTAGGTGTGCACGTGCGCGGTGCGTAATTGTCTCGAGTGCAAGGAGCGCCAGCGCTACGCGGCCGCGCGCGCCGCCCGCCCCAGCGACGAGCCCGACCCCAAGGTAAACCGACCTCTAAACGCCACCGACTAAGGACTAGTTTCGCTTCCACTCGATGTTTCGACTAACGACCTTTGTTTGTGTAGAGCAATTAATAGTAGGTGCACAATAAATTAACAATCGATTTGTGATATTACCGTTTTTCTTAGTGTTTGAAACATTAGCCCTGTTCTTATTTCATTAAAAACTTTAGTGGTTTTTGATGAGTTTAATGTAAAAAAATTATAAAGGATCATTATACTTTTTAGATATACTATTAAAAAAATATTATGAATAAAGTAATTAGAGGTGATTTACTATTTTTGTTATACTTCCATGGTCAGTGACATTAAGTAATTTTTGTTATAAGCAAGATTGCTACAGTGTAAATCGCAAAAAACAAGGTACATAGTAGTAATTACATGGTAGCAATGCCAGTAAAAACAAATTTTACTTTAGTCTTGAGATTTTTTTAATATTGATCCAGTGATTCCAACGAAGCAAATGTTTAAGTTGTACTTTTGTTGTATTGCTGACTTATTGTAAGACCCAGGAAATTAAATGACGTCTTTTTTTGTCCCCTTTTTTGTTTCCCAAATGGTCGTAGTCGAAACTCGAAATATTTCTCTCTCTGTCACTCAAGTCACAGGTAACCATAAAGCACCGTGGGTTGTGTCATCCTTTGCACGCACGCGTTTATGATGTTCTGGTACACTGATTCACACTAATTGAAATGTTTCTCACGTTTACGTTGACAATTAAATAAAATCACCACAAGTGATGAAATCCTTTAAGCGGAAGCTACTATCCATTGTAATGTAACTGAACGGAATTAAGTACCCACAATAAAAAATATACCACCCTGCATTGCTCACCTACTTGTATCAATAATCACAGCATCCGCAATTGTTGTATTTTTGTAATTCTTATAATTAAATATTTGTGCATGTTGAAACTTAAAAATTCGCATAATGCTCTATATAATGTGTATTTTGATTTTAGAAAATTGTCACAAGACACAATTATTCCTATTAAAGTAGATGAAGCCCGTTTACAACCTTTTGTATGCCTATCCTCATTAGAAATTATTGTTCAATGTCCTACGTAGTTATGTTTTCCTAGTACAATGTTACTATTACTATCCATTCCGTTGTAGACACCGTTAGGGACAAAAATAGAATTTTCGTTTATAACCGTTTTGCTTTGTAGTATTGAATGGGTCCGTTTTTCTTTCTACAGAAATACGTTGTCCCTTTGTTGTGATGATCGCAGGTAAAGATGCCTACGGGGTTCGTGATGTTATCTTAACGTTTATGACAGCCTGGTACTTTGTTATAGTCTAATTATGCGGATTCATATCAAGTTTTATTTATTTTGTGTGCAAAAGAGCGTGGTGGCGAGTCTGGCAGATGCTTCGAGCCCTGTCAAAGATCCTGAGAGGTTGCTCCAAGATATGGACGTGAACCGACTTCGGGCTGTAATATATAGAGACGTCGTGAGTATACCTTATTGTATTTGTTTCTTAAGTTTTCACGCACACCACTCGTTATTAAAACACACTTGATGACGTGTCATTATTTCCATATTTTTATTTTAATAAGTTTACTATAGGTACATTTCTTATTCCTGTCCTATTTTTAATACTTACCGATTTATATCTTTTCATATTACGTAACGGCTGCAACTGTAATATCGTTGTTTCTGTTGCTGTTCTAAGTAAATAGTAATATTTCACACGTCCTATATTCTTTAGGTGGAGTCACTAGTGCAGATTCTGTTTCGGCCTAATTCATATTTCATTATGCCCCTCTCTCTTGCCATCATGTACTTGCATTAGTGATGTCCTTATTGTTGATGTTTCTTACTGCTCATATTCTTTACCAGCCAATTCCACCGTACAGCTCCTGTTTCTGTTTAATTGATGTTTCTTGCCCTCCCGATTTGTTATTATTTATTTGACGTACCTATTTTTCTCCCTTATTAGTAGCCTTAGCAGCTCATTAGCGTAGATTCCGTTCGTATCGTAATCGTTGATGCCTCATTTGCCAGGAGGAGACGAAACAAGCGCAGTTCCTGTCGCTTGCCATCGTGTACTTCATATCGGTGCTGATGGTGTCTAAGTACCGCGACATCCTGGAGCCGCCCGCGCCCGCGCCCGCGCACGCGCCGCCCGAATGCGCGCGCCGCCCGCACCACGCGCACGATCACCACGGTACAACATTAACTTCACGCGCCACCACATTACGTGATGCTTGTCCCGCACTTGCGTGACGAAGCTTCGGGTGGCTTTGATATTAAAAAGCGTTCGTACTTTAAATTAAGTACACTCCCTCAGCTGCCACATACATATTTATGGTTTCCCAGGACTTTTTTTTAGTGTGTCAAATCATCGCCTATCAAGCTATCGTTGAGCATCTATAGAGACGCAGCTCTCATAACTATACCCGACGTAGCTGTTTCATTAAGACAGAAGTAATTGAATTTTGAAAGCTAATTTTAGCAAATTTAGTACAAAATTCACCCGAAGCTTCGTCGCGCAAGCATAACACGTAAATACGTATGAGAATCAGTAAAGACTATTATAATTTTTTACTCGTCCGCCAACGTAAAGGGTCACCTTAAAAACAGCAATATCTTTAAGAAATTATCAAGCTAACTACTTTTGTTTATGAAATTTAACCAAAAGAGGATATTATGCGGAACCCTTCATTTAATAAAATTTTATTTCAGATACTTTTTCATTCAAAGAACTTTAGCTTATTTAGTGTTAACGTTTTATTTGGAATTAACTAGGTGACCTTTTATTTTTGCGGGCGACTGTATCAATGACACACTAGTGGAGCACAGGCCATGAAAGTGCGAATCTGTCATCTATGTTAATAGTTATCTATCAGAATATAACATTATTAGCATAGTTATCAGTCAATAAAAAGAATGATCTCTTTCAGCGTACAATACTGATAACACTGTGAACATTCTTCGACTTAATGTTAAGGAATTGCAGTAAAATGATGATTTCGATTTAATACAAGAATGAAGTCTAGTCGAGGCAGTAAATCCAACATACTTATTATGACTACACATAAGAAGTTGTACTTAACATATTATATAGTTTTCAAATTTGGGAGAACTTTACAAATATCTACTTTGATCGGGTCAATGCCGTTTCCCGTTAAGGTGTAACCATCAATATACATGATACATATCATGTATATTGATGGTTACACCACATTACGTGATGCTTGTCCCGCACTTGCGTGACGAAGCTTCGGGTGGCTTTGATATTAAAAAGCGTTCGTACTTTAAATTAAGTACACTCCCTCAGCTGCCACATACATATTTATGGTTTCCCAGGACTTTTTTTTAGTGTGTCAAATCATCGCCTATCAAGCTATCGTTGAGCATCTATAGAGACGCAGCTCTCATAACTATACCCGACGTAGCTGTTTCATTAAGACAGAAGTAATTGAATTTTGAAAGCTAATTTTAGCAAATTTAGTACAAAATTCACCCGAAGCTTCGTCGCGCAAGCATAACACGTAAATACGTATGAGAATCAGTAAAGACTATTATAATTTTTTACTCGTCCGCCAACGTAAAGGGTCACCTTAAAAACAGCAATATCTTCAAGAAATTATCAAGCTAACTACTTTTTTTTATGAAATTTAACCAA